ATGTCTGTCTTGTTAAAGTGTTTCAGAATACATAGTCGCCTAAAAAAAGTTATCAAAAGAAAATTAAACTCAAACGACACTGCCAACTACATCACTTTGGTTTTCCATAAATTGCGTCATGGTTGTTATTAAAGCTATAGTTTGGTCCTGAAACCAGTAATGATAACTTTTTTTTTCTTGTTTTCGCTAAAAGTTTAGAAAAACATGATCAGGTTCTTCGATATCGTTAGTTGCATTCACAAACTTCTTAGAGTCTATTTTATCCACGTTAGTCGTTGAACAGTCTTCCAGTGCTGTATCAATAAAATTTTCATCAACATTTTTATCATCGCTATCAAGTTCTTTCAGCGGCGCACTCAAAATCGCTTTTGTTATTTCATTGATAAATTCCATGTGTTGACGCTCTGTAATAGTTAAGAATTATTGCAGGAAAGAAAAGAAAATGTTAAAAGACTTGGAACCCCACTATAAATGGCTAAAGCTCTGAGCCAAAAAGTCTATTCAACCTTGCTCTTCAGTCCTTGGAACTGGAACCACACAGTTCAACGGATTGTTGATCAACAGTTTTCGTTGCTTGTTGTTTGTGGTACCGTAGATCATGGCCTTAAGAAGTTTTTCATTGGGGATTATTTTCACGTGAGACAAAGATTTGGGAGATCAACGAGATGTATGTCTGAAAATACAGCTTACGTCATCTATGGTGGCCGGAATGACATCTATGTCCTCCTGCGGTGACAGTTCCAGTGCGCCAATATCCAACAAATATGGTATCGGTGGCGGTTTTCGTACTATTGCCTTCAATAATAGTGTGGGTTATAGCTGCTAGTCCATCTTCTCAAAGACTTTATCAATAATTTTAACTGCAGGCGGTTATGTACAGTTAAAGTTGTCTGTGATTTCCATGCAAGGATGAAAAATTACTTTATTGGCACCACGGTCAAGTTTTCTTCCTGGTCTTGCAGCTGTTTCGCTATTTATTCTTTTTAGATAACTGTCTTTTCTTTCATCATCCCTATCAAGTTTTGACAAATCGTCTGTAGATTTGGATTCTCTAAGGATTTTGACATACTGTTTCGACGGTCTTGGCAGCGGTGGAGGTAATTCGGGATTCTTGCAAGAGTCCGTCTAAATAATAACTTCTGTCATATCATAGTTACAGCGCTTTAACATTGGCTACTTAATTACAGTTACTGGAACTTACATTTGGTGACTTCAATGGTGGGATTAGAGCCGTAAATGATGAATAGGTTCCTTCTTTATTTTCACCATTTATTGCTGTTTTCCATATTGGAATGTCAGAATCGGAATGAGAATTTTTCAGCGGTGTAAATGTTGGTGTGTTCCTGCAGCAAATATCCAAGATAGATACTAGCTAATTCTTTTTTTTCATATTCGTTTTTATCATTGAAAGCAAATCATTCAAACGGTCAGTAAAGTGAAAATAATTTTACCAAGTTCTTGTTGAAATCCCTGAAGGTTCACGTTCGTTTAATGTAGCAACAATTTTATGCCTTTTTGTCCACTGGCAACAAATTATTACAACTGCTGCGCAAAGTAAAAGAATGCCAACACCAATAAACATCTGCATATCAGTAATTGTCCGTCGACAAGTTACAGCATTACACACTAACGATTTGCAAAACCTGTAAACATCTGGTCATTACATATATCACATCTACAATAGAAACTTTTCCACAGTTTTCCATTAGTATTTACAGTGGTTATAAAGATCAAATAATGTAAATAATTCTTAATGACCAAGCTACTGAATTAACAAACCTTTCTGGTCCACAATCACATTCTTCGCCTGGTTCAAGAAAATGATTACCGCATATTGGTAAAACTGTTTTCGGGAGAGCTTTTGGTGGATTCTGAATACAGTGATGTGCCGGAAGCCGTTCAACAAGCGCTTGCACTGAACAGTCATCAAAACCGCTGAAACTTTTAAGTTTAATTTCTTAGATTTTGCAATAATTATATTTTTTTCTGTCAAAAAATGAACAAAAAAATTTTTTTATTAATTAAAATTTGCTGAAGCACGTGCATCAAAAGTTTTAAATGAAAACATGAAAAAACACTACAAAAACTTTTTTTTAACTTGGTTTTATTGACTATTTTATAATAAGTGTACCCCAAATAATATAAAATTACAGTGTAGAAAAGCTGTTCTGAAAGTATTTGAAATTAGATATATACACATGAATAACTGTATTGCTGTAAAAAAGTAACAGACTCAATTTTCAAGCACGGTTCGTCGTTACTGCCACAGAAACAGTCCGCAACAGCATCATGAGTTAGTCCCAGCAGATGTGCTAACTCATGAAAAAACACTGCTGCATATTCCAGCGGAGCATCAGGTAGAAACTGAAAGTCAGTTATCTTTTAGAAAGATAAATTTTAAATTAGCTTTTAATAAAAAATTATGAATATACAGAATTATGAAATTTTCAAGTGTAAACTGACTCCGGTTATTCCAACTGCTGACTGGCCACACATGCCGTTCACATACGCTATTCCACCCTCATATCCATGTCTGATAAGCATTGCCAAATCATGGGAAGGCAATTCTGCCAAATGATTGTTTCTGAAGGTTGACAATTGTTCCAATGTTAAATTATGACCCAGCATTTCCATAACATCCAACACAATAATCCGAGTATCGATTTGATGCATATACTATAAGATAAAGATGATTTTTCTGAATTGAGTTCTTTATACTAAAGAAGAACTGAGTTTTAAAAACAAATTAAAAGAAGGTTTCAGAAAAATTTTGTTCAAAAAGTAAAGACAACACTTCAACCAGTAAATAAATACCATATTCAGGTGATTAAGCAATGAGGCAACTGCTCGTCTAATCTGATGCTTATCATTTTTGAAAGTTCGCTTCTGCAATTAGTTTCGGCTTTAAATAGAAAAATAATAGTTACTTGTACTCTCGTTTGGTACTGTATTAAAATTGGCTTAATTTACTTTTCCACTCGATTATTTATGCTTTTAAAGTAACATATGACTATATTCTTCCTGTATAATTTAACGCGCCAGGAAACATGGTAAAATTTTACCACTTCGGGATCCACAAATATCAGCGTTTCTATGTATCGAATTTTGCCGTCTTTTTTAACCTGATTCCAGTCTGGTACTCCTCGAGACGTATGAACAATAACGACACCATTATCATCGGTAATTGGACGAATTGCTCGTACCTATGCAAATTAGCGATAAGCATTTATTTCTTATTTAGGTACTTTAAGCAGATTTTATAATTGGAAAGCAAAATTGGTACTGATGACGTTTGTTTCTTTTTCTTTGTTTTTGTTAGTTATTAGAAATGAAAAGATAACAGATCAAAACTTGGCTCTTTTTTCTTGTACAGTTAAAAGAAACGTTTACTTAAGTGCGTTAGTGCACAGTTATTATAGAACTATGTGTTAGGTTTGAAAAATTTAGAAGTGTATCATAATTTTTTAAAAGTTGTTATATGTTTACCAAAGTTTCAGCAAAAGCGATTGCGATATTTGGCTATAAAAGTTGGTACATAGATCATTACCTACCAAATCATGGACTATAACCGGTGATGATTGTTCATGAACACTAAAGTTTGCTACAGCTACAAAAGCATTGATGTTGTCGACGAAACAGAAGTGTATCAGAACGAAGAATATTGTTGTTGCATATAATTTAATCATAATTTATTTATTTTTTTTTTGCTAAATTAAGCAATTCATTTGATAATATTTTGCTGAAAGTTTTTTGATTAATACGATATTATCTTCTCAGTACATTTTCAACCATATTTAACAAACGCTGCTAGAACTGTGGAAAGTGGTGTACGAAAGCGCTCAGTCTGAGACATAATCATCTTTTCATTGTCAAACAATCAAAACAAATGACTAAATCAGATTTCTAAGAAGTTTACACTTTATTTTCTTTTTTTTTCCTTTTTTGGTTGACAAATAACGACCAAAGTTTATATCGATTTGTTCATAAAAACAGGACGCTTTTCAGTTCCTTAAAATTTGCTCGAATTAATAGTACACAGGTTGGTCAGCTGATTGTTAGTTACAAAAAAAAAAAAAAAGAAAACGCGTAAAAAAATATCTCCAAAAAATTTTATTGATTTAAAAATTAATTTTTTTTTTTTTAGAATTATTTTTTGTCGAATAAAATGAAGCAATTGTACTACAGCGGCGATAACGATCAAACATTGACGGCATAAACAAAATACCGTTCTTTTAAATGCAACATTTTCAGTAAGCAGTCATAATGCAAAGAAAAAAAAGAACTTAAGCGATTTTATTGATGCAAGAACGAAAATTGTGTAATTTTAAGAGACCTCAGTTTTTGTTCTGTTCGGTACAGCAAAAATAAATGAAGAAGTGAAATTTGGTGGAAAAAAATTGGCATTAGAAAACCGGGTGACTGCGTCAACAAAAAAAGGTGGCAGTTTTTACGTAAAATGATGTGTAAAAAATATTGAAAAACAAACGCTGATGAAGACGGTATATCAGAGTGACAAAAAAAAAAAAAAAAAGTTAAAATTGTTGCCTTGCAGTTTGTCAATTTAAACACAAAAACTTATACTCAAATTTCTTTCATGCACAAAATCGTACCCGAACTGCAGTGACATGCATAAAATATTAGCCTTATTTTCACAAGCTGATCGGGAAATTAGTTCTCACAGTCGACCACAAAACTCTCACAGATTTCCACCTGTTAACACAGTTGTAAAATTGGTAAAGCAGATTCTGTTCCAAATCTTCCGTAATCTATTTGAATATAAAACTAAATTGTTATAATGAGTTTAAATCTTAATGTAAACCACTTAAAGTTAGATGCAATTAACAACAGATCAAAACTTAGCTTATCTGCTTGATTATTAAGCTTGAACAAGATATTAATATAACTTCTGCTCAAAAAAAGACACGCATAACATCAACAGAATAAATAATATTTCAAACAGATAAATAACTTTAACTTGGAAAGTTTGGAACAGGCATTGCAGATACTGATGGTGAAAACTGTAACAAATAGCATACTGTCAAATTTTTCTTCAGAAAAACAACTGAAACAATTTTCCAGCAGCACCTCAAATAACACCAAAAATTTTTTACATCATTTTAAAAAGCACTTAAATTCTGCCTTTTTTTCTTGCTTTTTCTTTTTTATCTAAAAATTTAAGTAACTGTCAAGAAGAAAATATTTTTATGTCTCCTCTGATAACAAATTTGATAATAGAAAATATCGAAACTGTTTCAAAAGCACTGATGAAAATGTGTTCAAAATCTGACAGAACACAAAAGTGTTGATAAAAATTGCAACAAAACTTCATTTATGGTACTGAAGAAACAATAGAGAATAACATAAAGCGTTAAAAGAACAGCATTAATTTGTTGGAAAACCTTGGAAGACGACAATTCTACAGCAATATCAAAAACAACAGATGCCTGCCAATACCGAAAACAAGTTTAACGTCCAATGTCGAACGTGACTCATTTTTTGACGATCTGAATACGAAAAAGTACCAGTAAATTTACGCTTTCTTCTTTTTTTGCTCTTTCAGAAGGAACGACTTCCTGAATTAGTCTGGATGAACAACTGGTTATTTCAGCAGTAGAAACTTTATGCGCACAGATTCATCAACGAATCTGTTCTGATGAAAGTCCGCTGTATTCTTTCCCTTAACAGGTATCTTGCTAAATCACATCTTCTAAACTATGACGATCATTCGTAAAATTTAAATAATTCACTAATTGATAAATTGGTATTACATTGGGAGTGTCATCATCGAATACCATTTTCAAAGCCACTTGAAAATGTAACAAATTGATCAGTTGAAAATGGCTGTTAAAAATTCCTCAGAAGGCAATGTCTGCCCAAAAACCACGAAAGACTTTGAATGCAAATTAACCTGTAATCATTTTAAAAGCAAAAAAAGCAAAGTTTTTTTATACCTTTATTTATCAGAAAAGAAAAGTTGAAAAAAATATACAAATTTATTTAATCAATATTTTTCAGCTGAAAAATATAGCAAAATAACAAACAAGTCATTCTGTCATTTTTTTTTTAGGCTGAGCAAAAATGACCTTCAAAATGTGAAATTTTTGCGGCTGAATTTTGTTGGATTATTTGGGAGAGTAATAACCGCTTTTTTGTTTTTTAATGTTTTTGTTTTGTTTTTCTCCTCTCTAAAAACTGAAAGAGATCTTTATCAAAGCCGAAAATTTATTTCCATACCCCCTCCCAAAAAAAAA